AAAAAAAAATGGGTGGGAAAAGGGAAGTTTTGGGGGGGGGGGGGGGACTGTTGCACCATTGTTTGCAGATACCTATTGGTTTGATATTTTGTTATCTGACTAACTTAATAAAACTGATGGGATTTAAGTTGTTCACAAAACTGAACTAAAACCCCAAAAGTGCTTCTGCAATCCATAAGCCCTTTCTTCTTTGTCTCAGAGATGCTTAACTGACAAGAGAGAGAATCAGGTAGGTGCTGTGCCAGACCTCCAGGCGTCCTCTGCTAAGGATGCTGTTGAGGTGAGCTTTGGCTCGGGCTAGTTTGGGCTGCGAATCTTCAGTCAGAGGCGTAGAATTCTTCAGCAGGGTCATGTTCTCCAGCAGACATTCCTCCAACAGAGCTTCTGCCAGCAGCAGCGTCCTGTAATCATCTACAGACAAACAGAGACGGAAGCTGGGCAAAGGTTGAAGAAGATAGAAAGACTAGCACATGCTTGATGTTGGCTGATTACGGTAGAGTATCTTTGGGTTCTTTAAAGGATAAAATGTTCACCAGCATCCCGTCTAAAATAGTGTTTCATGGCGTCATTTTTCATCCAGCAGTGGACTTTATCATGGCAGAATGGCATTCACTGATAAACATGTGTAGATTGCATATTAATCTACAACAGCATTCTGCCCAGGTTTCGAGAGTTAAGTGTGTTTGTTTCAGCTCAAATATACAGTCCGACAAGAAGGTGCTTCGAAAATATTCACTTTGCCTTCATGCATATTTTGTATAAACACTGTGGATGAGGTGTTTCCTGTTTGGTTCAACATTTCACTCCCCACTGAATCCAGACTTGTGTTATATGTCAAGTTTATGTAAGACATTTTCCTAACTGAATATGAAGTAACTCGGTACATCGCTCAAAAAACCTTTACTGACTGAGTTTGTTTCCCCACAGGGAAATTAATGTCTGAGCATTTGCAATGGCGAAACAAGACGTGCTGGGTCAGAGATCTGATTTGGACAGTGGTGGACACACCTCCTGGGAGTGCTGTGTATTAACCTCTAGATTAGCAGTAATCTAGAGGTTAACACACAGCACTCCCAGGAGGTGTTGATTTAACAATGAACACGGGACATGTTTAAGCAGCATGTTTATCTTTTACCACGTTTACCTTTGTGAGAATGAGAAAGTGAAAGGCCTGGGGTTTAATACTAAATCATCCAAAAAAAATGAACATTTATTTACATTTATTATACAAGTCTTTTATTCTCACCAAAAGCTGCATTCATTTGATCACAAATGCAGTAAAACAGTAACATTTTGAAATCTCATTACATTAGAAAATAATTGCTTTCTACTTTAATATATTTTAAAATGTAATTTATTCCTGTGATACAAAGCTGAATTTTGTCCTCAGTGCCACGTGATCCTTCAGAAATCATTATCGCATTCTTATTTGGTGCTCAAGGATCATTTCTTCTTATTATCAATGTTTAAAAGAAATGTGCTGCTTAATATTTATTTCTGGGGAAACAACCTCTGGATTCTTTGATCAATAGAAAGCATTTACAGCATTTATTTGAAACATATATCTTTTGTGTTCCTTTTTTTTCAGAACCAAAAATCTTAATGACAGTATGCAAAAAGTAAGGTTTCCAATAAGTTCATGTATGATGTATATCAGCTGGTTGGCGCTCTGCTATACCATAATGCCACAGGAATCAAAAAGTTACAAAATAATAATAATAACAAAGAAAATTAAATGGCAAGTGTGAGTTTGTTCGTTTTTTTCAAGCGCAAGTGTATAAGTACCAAGAAACTCGTTCTTATTTAAACTGTTAACTACACCAAGGTTGTTAGTGCGTCTTAGGTCAAAGAACATTAACATAATGGTGGAGAAATACACCATCAAATTCAATGCATAGCCTAAAGTGAGGGTGAGTAAATGCTGACACTATTGCATTCTACCTGTATTAACTACAGGGTGTGTGCATGCATTTACACCTCTGATTCACATGAGTAACTGGCTTTACACACGGATCTCTCTCTCTCTCTCTCTCTCTCTCTCTCTCTCAGAGTGCACTGACAAATCAAATCCAAAAGCAAAAACAGTAGCCTCAAAAAGTGCATGGGAGTTTCTGTTACTGATATCAGCGCACATTAGTAAACATGAGAGTTTAACAGAAAGGTGCAAAGTTCATGCGGAACACTCTCTCTCTCACTCTCAACACTGCTGGCTCTCCTCTGTTCTGTTCTATTGTGGAACGCACACTTACCATCTTCATGCAGGCGCGCGGCAGCGAGTTGCTCCAGTAAAGACGGTATTTTATCCCACTGACACTCCGCGCGGCAGCGCTCGACCTCCGCCTCTAAGCGGTACTGAGAGAAGGAGAGCCGCGATGACATCCCGCCCGCGTCTCTGTGACCGAGCTCCACCGACACCAGAGTGACTGCCGACTGTCAACGGGAAACTCACTGAGCATGTGCAAACAAACATTGCAGGGCTTTGCCCACTTCAGTGACTTAAGAATATTGATTATTCCTGTTAATAATTCAATAAATGTTGGAACATTATTATTCCTCTTTAATGCTATACATTTAGTGGAGTTTTCCTGCCCAGTTGCACCCAACTTTGTAAAACTCATCAGCGTTCCCACATAGGCTATCTTGACCATATGATTTTATTTTAATTGTATTTAATATTCTAAATCTCACCAGCCTCTCTTTACACTAAGCAGTACATTTGAAAGAATTTTAAGAATATCCTATATCGTGATATCATATAGCCTAGGCCTATTGTACGGTGACCGAGAAGTGCAAAGCAAATCACAATTCTGAAAACAAAATAACAATTCAGAAAACACAACGACAAATTCGAAAACAAAATAACAAGTCAGAAAACACAACACAAATCCGAAAACAAATTTACAAGTCAGAAAACACAACGACAAATCAGACAAACCGGAAAAGGTAGGTATAGTTTGAGACAGCGCCATTGGTTTGGGATTACTCACCGCTGACTGGACGAGACATCTGTCAAAGAACCAGCCGAAGAACAGCAGAGTCGTGGTAGAAAGTTCGGAGATGGTATTAAAGTAGCTCAGTTTAAATGTATTGTATGAATTGCCCTTACGCTGGAATAAAAAATACGGGGTGTATATTTACATTTAGTTAAATGCAGCTGAAAATCATCAGCTCCAGTGTCGCAGATGGATAAGTGTGTGCCCATGGCTATTTGACGAGATCGACCCAGGTTCGAGCCCACCTTTTGCCGAACTTTTTTTTCCTCCCTCCCTTTGCACTTCTCGGTCACCGTACTATTGCATAGCTCAGTGGTTCTTAAACTGGGGTACGCGTAGGCTACCCCTGGGGGTACGTGAGGTCACGGAGGGGGTACGCGAAAAAAATTTGGCATCCATTGAGTTTTGGCATCCATTTAATTCTACCCCAATATTAACATTAAAACCGAACATATATTTCTGACAAGCAAAATGCCACTTCTAATGTAAAAACAGGAAAGTGGTAGTGCCGTAAACGGTCAAATACATGATATCCAATCAAATTACCTCATCTTTTGCGGTCAAAACTGACCACACAAGCAGTGTGCATGTGATAGGATGCCCGCTGAATATGCTGCTTTAGCAAATCGCGCTGTTGTTCAATGTACTATCTTTAAAGTAGCCTAGATCTTCACTTAAAATACGAGCAAGAATGCAAATTTCACTGAATATCCAAACGATGGCAAATGTGACCATTTTTACAACAGTTCACCAAAAAAAAGGTCATATTAAGTGAACATTTTACATTTTAAATGTAGCATTTTAAACAGAATATTGTATTTTGCAACAAAATAACGAAATCGAAATCCATATCATCTGGTGCATCTGCGGCTTTGAACGATTTGGAGAGTCAATAACCCATTCATAACTACAGCATTTTGCTTCGTTACTGAATGAATGAATGAATGAATGAATGATGCGATGCCTGGCTCACAGCGACTTGCCGCGGCGCTACCTATTGGCGGTTGCCTAGGCTATCACTTCAATTTGCCATCATTTATTGCTTTAGTTATTATATTAATAATACACTTAATGGAATGTTAAGAATATGACATAAAACATAACATACAATTAATAAGGACAGAAAATGTTTGCCTCTATAAAGGTTTAAAAAAAATAAATTTAAGGGGGCAAATAAGTCCTTTAATAGATGGTCTAAGTGGAAGAGAGGGGGTACGCAGAAGAATGTTAAATGCCCCAGGGGGTACGTACGTCGCTGTAAAATGTTTGAGAACCACTGGCATAGCTGAACATCATTCATGCATTACTCAAACATTTTTATGATATAATTTGAATGGTTAGAACTAAAATGTTGAATCTATATGAATGCATTATCATAATCACGTTGTCTGCATTCGACCGATTTAACTGATTTGCTGAATCAAAACGTGGGCGTTGACTTGTGACATGTAGTCAGTGGGATCGTTCTTGTTTTATGCAAATAGCTACATTTTCCCATTTTCACTGTGGGTATGCAAAATTAAAATCTTTGCATATTTTACATATAGTGGTTGCTACGTCCCGGGGTTTTATAAATAGGCTATTTTAGAGCTGAGGGAAAATTCCATGACTTCCTAATCTCTGATTCATTTCTATGATTTTTCAACCCTGGAAATTCCATTTCCCTGATATATCCTCGGGTTAATGGGAACCCTGTTATCACATCAAGTCTGAGTTTGATTCCCTGTTACAAAAATATCATAGTCCTTACAAAAATATCTAAATTACAATGCTCTTAAAACATCTTAAATCAGTCCAGCTGATTTAGGCTAGTCTAGCTGATCTTCCCAGTCTGGCCAAGATGGTTTTAAAAAGTTTAAGCTTGTCTCCTATATCCTGTCAAAGCTGTTGTTGCTTCAAATTGGTCATTATTTGGTGCAAGCATAGCTGGTTAACTAGCATATGTTCCAAAACCTAGCTGAACTACCTGTAAGACTAAGTGGCAGCAGATTTGTTGGTGATGGCCATTTTAGAGCAGCTAAAACCAAACAGAAACTAGCTATGTTCAGAACCCTCTTCTATGCCACACAGACGTAAATGAATAGTTCACTAAAAAATAACAATTTGCTGAAAATTTACCATAGGCCATCCAATATAGATGATTTGTTTTGTCATCAGAACAGATTCGGAAACATTTTTATATCACTTGCTCACCAACGGATCCTCTGCAGTGAATGGGTGCCGTCAGATTGAGAGTCCACACAGCTGATAAAAACATTACAATAATTGTCTTGTGAAGCAATCAATCAAGATTGCTGCATCCAGTTCAAATATTAACTGAGTCCTCTATCCATAATATTGCTTTCTCCAGTGTACAAGTCATCTCAAGTTGTCTGAATCAGGAGATAAATATGCTCAGATCAAGCACCGTTTACAAGCGAAAAACAGTTCTAAACAAATATGTTGGTGGATTTTGGTGTGAGAGGACAGCGGGGGATGGACTTTTTCCACTGAAGGAAGTGTTATTATGGATTATGGGCAGGTATTTTGACCAAAAACAAAAATTTACATTTACAACATCATAATGATGGATTTGTGTCTTTCAAACACTCAGCTTTTTACTTCATAAGATGTTAATTGATGGACTGGAGTGTGGATTACTTGTGGATTATTGTAACGTTTTTATCAGCTGTTTGGACTCTCATTCTGACGGCACCCATTCACTGCAGAGGATCCATTGGTGAGCAAGTGATTTAAACATTTCTCCAAACCTGTTCCCAAGAACAAACAAACTCATCTACATCTTGGATGGCCTGAGAATGAATACATTTTCAGCAATTGTTCATTTTTGGGTCAACGATTCCTTTAAAAAAAAAAGGAGACTCACAAAACTATGTCTCAGTCTTATAAACCCAGCAAACACCATTTACTGGGCCACAACATGCATGTGTTAAGTGTCTGTTAAGACCATACGTGTAGTTTAACAGGTTTAACAGGACATGTCCTATGTCCCTGAAATCCCTCCACTGAGATGACTAAATCTATTTAACCAGTTATATCACCTAAAGCAGGGGTGCCCAAACTCGGTCCTGGAGGGCCGGTGTCCTGCAGAGTTTAGCTCCAACTTGCCTCAACACACCTGCTTTTAAGTTTCTAGTATGCCTAGTAAGAGCTTGATTAGCTGGTTCAGGTGTGTTTAATTGGGGTTGGAGCTAAACTCTTCAGGACACCGGCCCTCCAGGATCGAGTTTGGAGACCCCTGACCCCCTGACTAAACTATCTGCAGGGCTCATTTTAATGATCAGATCAAGAGAGGGAGCTGCTTCCGTCATAGTTTGGAATGAGAGTCTTGAGTCTGTTTAGATGAAAATACTGACTCATTTGATGCAAACACCTGCCACAGAATGCAAATGGCAGTCAAATGAGGCACCTGTCCTCAACATACCGAGACAGTGGCGCCATCTAGTGGGCGATATAGTGCTTGAAAGATTTGAGCGAAACCCACAAAAAAGCCTATAAAATAGACTGCATTTTAACTTTCTTTCTTTCTTTCCTGGCTTTACGGTCATGCCAGCTAGCTTTGAAGTAATCTGCATGCATGACCTTAGTACTAAATGACTGACAGATGGAGAGTGTTTCTGATTTGCTCTCTCTCTCTCTATCCCCCTGCAATCTTGAGTTTTTTCCAGTTGTTGTTTTTTTCTTCTTCTCTCTCTCACGACATCCAGGCTATATCAGTGATTTCGTGTGGGTACCAGTGTTGGGGAAAGTTCCTTTTAAAAGTAATGCATTACAATATTGCGTTACTCCATAAAAAAAGTAACCAATTACGTTACTTAGTTACTTTTTATGGAAAGTAATGCGTTACGTTACTTTTGCGTTACTTTTAAAAATCTGGACAGGGCTTGCTTGTTTGTTTTTAAAATAAAAAAGTTCTATTTTTGGCAAATGCTGTATAAAAGCCTTTTCACACCAAAAGTGAAATGAATAAGCCTCAGGCTGAAGGGAAAGTAAATGTACGTCCGTACAGTAGAATGCAGAAGAAGACATTTCAATACACTTCAGCAATAAACAAAACACACAAATGTTCGTCTAGAGTAATTTGTGCTTATTAGTACGGTTGAACTGGATAATCGAAGGTCAGAAGCAAAGACATTGGTTAACAGAATGGGATTAAATACATAAAGACGCACCACTCAAATCCGATCACATGGAAAAAGATACTGCTTGGTTTCATATTATTCTTCATATCTATTTGAAATTTGAGAATGTTGATAGGATGCAAAAAAAAAAAAAAAAAAAAAAAAAAAA